AAGAACAAGAGATTTTTTTTATGCTTAAAACATGGTCTTTCAGTATGACTATACTCACCACAGCAGGCCAGGATACAATTCTCATGAGTATTTTGTTTTTGCAGCAAATTTCACAGGAACCAGGAAAAAACCCAACCCCAAAACCAATCAGGTCTCTATATAGCTCATCTGAGAGGTTTACTGGTCTACTATTTCTACTTACCTTAGTACTAGGCATCTACTCAAAAACACAGTTCCAGGAAGACAGGAACTAATGAAGACTGCTTTCCTATGGATTGATGCCCGTGATTAATTGCCTCTATGTCTAAGGTAAAAGCTCTATTTGAAGCTGGTCTCATGCCTGGAAACTCATGTCTCTCCCTTATCTGCATTACTGGGTACAGAACATTTTTCTTCTCATCTCTCTTTCACCTGCACACTTAAAAAGAAAAAAGAATTCTAAAAATGTAGTGATTGTGAGATCTGCCAGAGTTGGTTTAAATTAATTCTGAAGCTGAAAGACAGAATGGTCACATATGCCACACTTCCATAGGAAAGTAAGAATGGGTAGTGCCTACTGTACTAAAGCCTGGCTAGTTTTACTGCCTCTTTTTGGTGGTAAAGCCTCTGAACTACTAACTCTACACTTACTCAAGTTTAAAAAAAACAAAAAACAACCAAACAAAACCATGACTCAAGATGTGATTTAAAAAATCACATTATTAGATATTTGTTAAGAGTATTAAGTAAGCAATTATTCTATTTTGTCAAAAAGAGTCGCAATTTACAAGAAAAAGCACTTTCTCCCTATACCTTTCAAACAAAGCAGACACAAAAAGCAAACCATGTTACTGAACTTCAGTTAAAACAAATAACCCTTTAACAATTTTATCTTAAACACCTGTCAGCTCACTGGACAAAAATCCCCCAGTGCTTTCCATACCTAGCTTTTGTCAGTAATGATCTCAAACACAGAACAGTTTGTTAAAATTTGTTGAAAGTACTGGTTTTTCCCCTCTGAGTACCAAACTTCTGGTAGTTTTTAGCAACATACCTGCTCTTCTCTTTAGAAATCTTGTTTTGGAAGCTTGCACATCCCCAGGTTCCAGTTACATCATATTTTCTTCATCTCCAAAACTTGTCTGTAGCTGGAACATGAAAAACACACTTGTACCCTTGTAACCTTTTACTACTGCAGTTCTCACTTGCCACTTCCCACATGCTCCTAGGGGACTTCCAAATACAGAAGACATGTGGATGCAATTTCTTTTTAATTCTGTTTTTGTAAGAAGTCATGTAATCACCTGTATCTTCAAGTATTCCTCCCTAAAAATATGACAGTTGACATTACTGAATGCTTTCCCTGCAACAGCAAGTTGCCTCTAGCTTTGTATTTTCCTGTTGACATGCTGGTTGTACATCAACACCGCCATAATTCTTCAGGTCATAAACCACTCATTTTGGGGCAATCTTGGCTAATCAAAGGAGTAATTGTTTTGTAAATAAAGCTACCACACAAACTTACGAAAATGTCAAATAATTATATTTTAGTATTTTTCACTGTCTTTAAAAAAAATAAATAATCAAGCCACTACAGACATCTGAAATAAACCTCTTTCTTGACAGATTGAATTATTCAGTGGAATTTCATCTCTTTTTGGAACTTCCTTGAAAAAATAGGAAAATTTATCTTAACTGTCAACCTTGCAAGATCAACACAAGGAGTTTAGACAACCCTTCTGAAACTTTATAATTGAACAAGACAAACTGACAAAAATACATATATTCCTAAGATGTATATTTAATTTCTTTGCAAGTTGCTGGTTTTGTACTTTTTGTATTAGTCACATAGTGTGAAAGCACACTCATTTAAGAGTTGATGAGCAATCAAGATTTGTGATGATCAGTCATGGTGGTTGGTTTTTTTTTTTTGCATAAGGGACTATACATCCTAGGTCTGAGATATAAACATACTTTCACTTTGAACAGAAGTCACTTTGAAAGCATTTTTCTTTTTCTACATGTCAGCAAATAGTTGGATATTTTTTCACCCTTGCTTTTGACTGTTTGGTTATATAGAATACGGAATGAATTGCAGAACTGTAAAGCAGCCATACACTCCAGTCAATATTCTGATGCACAAGGCATCTGTAACTGTCTAATAATTACAATATAAACCTATACTTTCAGTCAGTTTACAATAATGATTTTAGAAATGCCTACTAAATGAGACCAAATGTATCAGAGATTTAAAAAACTATCTCAAGATAGCTTTGAAAACAGGTAATTCCTGGTGAGTGTGGAGACTGGCACATAAATCCCTAACCTACTCAAGGTTGAAACCCCTCAGTGCCGCACCTCTGAGGCAGCCTGGTAAGGTGCTTTTTATCCAAAGAAACAATTCCCTCTTCATTTACCAGATTTGTCCTTTAGGCAAATATGGCTAGATTCCTAGAGAAGGAAATGTCTCTTGCTAGATAAACTCAGAGCTGCAGAAGAGACAGTGGATTAGAAAAGCCAAAACACCAAACAGATAGGGAAGTGATAAGCAGATGAGCTTTCAGGAGCACAAGCTGTTCACGCCGCCTGGGTCCTCGCACTTCTGCCTCTGCTGAGTGCCTGAGCTCCAGCAGGAGCTGGAGTGTTCTAGATGTTCTTGCAAGGGAGAAACAAAACCACAAGCACAGAGGCAGAAGGGGACAGATATTCAAGGTTACCTGAGAAGGAAGCAGATCTGATGTTAACTGTTTTCTTGAAAGTACTTTCTGTTTCTGCAAGTCTAAAGCTGGGTTGTGTCATTCAGACCAACAGTCTTGTTTCAGCACGGCGCCGACTGCCGTGCACACTTCCTGACTCTTTTCCCTAGGAACACAGAGAAGAAAAAAAGGCTGCTGGAAGTGGTAGCAAAATCTTACAGGAGCCTTTTCTAATTGAACAGAGGTTAATTTATTTCCCATTCATTTGTAGAAATTAAGAAAAATCACCAGCAAGTAACCCCTCTCACCTTGTGTAGTAACAGTTCAGAAAATAAGTAATTTAAAATTCAACATTTTACAGGCACCCTATAATTTACAATGTCTCTCAATATCTTACAGCAAATCAAAGAGGGGGAATATATTGTCTTAACCTGTAAGTGATACATATTTTACTCAGACCTCTGGAGTTGTTTTGTTTGTTTGTTTTTTTTACCGGAGAAGTGAAGCCACCCAGAAAAAGCAGCTGAATTAGAATGAGACACCATAGTAAAGCAGTTGGGAGTCAAGCTGATTTTACACTGACTGGTCATTGCAAAGTCAGGCCAGCTCTAGGCACACATCAGTTCTGTAGAGTGACTGTGCAAGTTTCAGCAATACAAATTCTTATACCTGCTGAGGAATTGAGCAAAGACATCAAGCATGTAAAAGCACATATTTGGCAGTTTTAAGAACACAATAAACCAGGATATATATTTCTGTTTAAATACTTGCCTCATACCTCTCTTGTTAAGCCAAGCACTAACTAGGCACAGCTTCCTCAGTGAAGGAACACATCCAGCAAGATGCTTCTTATAGCAAGATACATTTATATGCATTTAACACACAGTTTAGGAGTAATGAACAAATTATATTAATTCCTACCTGTAACATGGAGACTGATCCACAGTAAGGAGGCATGGGAGAGCACCTTCTAGAAACAGCTCATTTAATGAAAAAGCCAGGTGAAGGGGTGCAGAGGGGAACATCCACAGTTGTTCAAACCTGTGGGTTTTGAACCACAGTTTGTAGCAGCTTTGGGGAACTTTCCCAGAGGGACAGAAGACACTTAGTTATTCAACTCAATGCATTTAATGTACCTTTATAAAACTCTGAAACTGCCTGGCTTTCTGCTTTTACCCTAAGGCACCTGCTGTCCAATTCACTGATCTCTTCACACAGAAAAGTAACAAGAAAAAATTCCTGCAGATCTACAATTCTGAAGGAAAATCTCTGCTACTGCAATAACCACTGCCAAATAAAACAAGACTGTTATGTCCCTGTGAGATATGACAGTTGACATCAATATTTTTGTTCTCCTGAAGCAACACCTTGTAGTTAAGATGTCTCTACTGATTAAGACATGTACTATATGGACTAAACTTACAAGTATCTATATGGTATTTTATGATTCCATAGTTGTTAATCAATCTTTAATTGAGGAAGCAATGTTTAACTAATACAGTAACTACTCATGTCCAAGTTTAATACAAACAACATTTGCAAATTCTCTGAGGACTCACACCAACCACATGGTTTCACGTGACTGAGTTAAGATGCATTCAACTACAAAATAAGAAAAATTCAGTAAAGCAATGTAAATTTTCCTCAAACCAGATGTTTCTAAAGCACTCATTGAAATAATAAGCTCAGTGGTCTCCTTTTGTGGAATCAACAGTGAAATGTCCTAGATATCCCTCTGCCACCATTCTCCCCATTTTAGGGGTTTGAGAATTTGAAAAGGAAAGTGCATTTAGGTAAGGTCACTTGTGGGAAGGCACTCTGTCAGATGCAGAAATGTACCCTTCATGTTCAGCTACTTGCTTGGTTCAGGTCTACAGAAAACAACTGAGCTACTGGGGGGTGTCTTCCCCATGCACAAACAATGCTAATACATTGCAGAAACAAATCCATCTTTTTCCCTTTCTCCACCTCCCTGCTTCCCCAGCACCAGCTTGTGAAGGTTAACCTGTCATTTTATAACAAATTTTCCCCTAAATAGTCTCACGGGAATAAGCTTAATTATATACACTCTAGAACGAACATGGAGTACTTGAAGAAAAGACCACCACCCCATGTTGTATTATCTTTTGTTATCAAAAAAAGCCAAGAGGAAAACCTTGGTAAGAGTGGAGCATATTAATTATGACAAGGCATACTGACATACCACTTGAGATTTAAAGGCCACTAATAACACTTTTTGTAGTAATTAGTGCAAGATATTTATCCCATAGAAACAAATATTTGATGGTAGACTTCAGTGATAAACAATTCACTTAACAACATTTACATATAAATATACATAAATAAAAACCTACATAACTTAGGTTTGCAGTTAACCAAAAATATGGTCTGATATGAGTTAAATGTAATTGTATCTAGCTGGATCACAGCTCTTCCTCTAATGATACTAATGTATATGGGGTATGACAAGCATAATCAATTTAGTAAAGTACTACTCTATAAAACAGAATCATGAAAACAGCTCTTACATTTTAATGTAAAGTATAAAATTGTATATTTACATTTACATACACTTTACTGAACTACATTGGGTAGCTCACAGTAAAAAAACATCCCTTTTTGAAAAGCTTTCAAAAAATACATCAACTGCAGATATGATCAAAAGTTACTAAGTTAGCAGCTGACATAACATCTGTAGTAAAAATATATTTTAGGAAAATACCTGGAAAAATCTAAACACCAATAAACACTTTAAAACTATTTCTGAAGTAAAAATTGTAGCAAAAACCAGAATAAGCTAGCTAGGATAAAAGGAACTATTGCATACTGCTCTTTGAGAGCCATGTAGCCACTTAGAACACAAGCAGCAGATGTGGCAGGAGTTACATGGTGTCACAAAGTGGAAACCGGAGGAAAATAGGAAACTGGTTATCCAACTTCTCTTTTACTGGGAGAGGTGTAAAAAAAAAGATGAGAGACTCCTTCTCTCTGAGCACATCCTTCAAAGGCTAAAACAAGTTGGCAAAAGGAACCCAATTTCAAGAGCCTTGGACACCAAGCTCAAAAACATTTACTGTATGTACTTACAGTTCAATGGACAATGTATCAATTACACTACAAGTTGCAAGTTAACTTTAAGAGTCAACACTATTTTGCAATATGAAGTGCTCTTTTTAAATATATATCTATATAATATATAGATATTTATAAAATACACGTGCAGATTTGATAAAACAAACTGTGGAAATAGCTTCCTTGAGTCTTTTGTTCCTATTAAAAGATCTTTGTCTCCCACACAGAAGTTTCAGGATTCAACAAGGATTTCCACAATATGATCAAGCTCATTAAGATCAGATTTACAATTAGAGTTAGAAGTTGTAGTTGTTGGAGAAGAAAATGTTTCAAGCCCATCACAGTGTCCCATTTTTGTGTTGCTCATCATGCCTGTTAACATGGTATCAAGATCATAGTAAGAATTGTCAACTTCTGAAAATAAATCTTCAACAGAATTAGAACTTTTATTCTCCAATGTCTCAAATATTTGGTCTAATGATTTTTGAAAATTTCCTTTACTTTCTTGTGGGTTTTCCATTTCCCACACATTGCTCTGCGGGTTTCTCGGAGCTTGCACTGAAGAGGCTGTTGACATAGTTTCTGAACTATCTTGTGCCTGGTCACCCTCAAAGTCTTTATTGAAAGTACTATAGCCTGGAACATGCTTTCCCTCAGCTTGTTCCCTGGATGAACGACAGAGGATATCGGTTGAAACGAGATGATCCAGGGATGCCTGCCCTGTACTCTGTGTATTTATCATCTGCCAAGTCCCATCTTGAGTCATTTCCTCTTGAATCTGCCGTACCGTGTTGGCTATAAGCACCGAGCGACAAAGGTTAGGTTCAACCAGCATGTGACACAGCTGAAGTTTAACCAAGGACATATCTAACAGTGACTGCCGCTGAAGATTATATGAAGGAATAGCCTTAATACCAGCCAGAGTTCCTTCAATATCTTCTTCACCATCAAAACATTTTCTTTTTAATCCTCGCACAAACATTGTGTCCTGTTAAAAAAAAATAAAATACAAAAAATTCTTGTAAAAAGTAAACAGCTCAAGAGGAAGGTGAAAAATAAAAAGACTAAAAAACAAAACAGAAGACTTTAATCTTAAATTTAAACAGCAAATTATTTTAAGACAGGAACATCAGAATTGTCATACCAGGTTACAGAATGGCCCATCTGGTACAACAGGGGTCAGGAACATATGGACTGGGTCCCAAAGACGGCACTCGGGAACCAGGAGTGAGCAGGTCCACAAGTCATGGCATCGCAGAGAGGCAGGGGCTCCCAGCTCCTGGCTCCCATGAAGCTCCATACTTGATGGAAGTCAGGAGCCACTGCTTCGCACAGAAGCATACATCTCAACAGCTGTATTTCACCTATTGGAGAGGCAGTTTCTCCTCGCTCCTCCTGAGTTTCTACTGGCATTCTCAATCTCTAATTTTGGAAATAAAAATACAACCTGGCACACCATCTTTAAAAAATTTGACCCCTCCAGAACATCAACAAGCCTAACAGAGTAGCATGAAATGGGCAGCATACTTGACAAGGTTAGCTTATTTTGGCTACAGGGACAGTAACATCTAGATCTGTTCCATATAACTTAAGACATTTAACTGAGGTGCCTACAGCAGTCCTTCCAGTTCTCTTGCTCAGGTGAATAACTGAACTGTGTAATTCTAACATCAACTGTGCAAGTTCAATAGGCACCGTCATCCTCTGTATGGGCTTCTGTACTTCTTTCCCAGTTGACTGTAAGAAAGCAAAGTTCCTATATTTCCAGTTTAGGTTCACCAGCTAAAAATATGTGGGGTGCATCCAGACTTCTCATGATTTGCATCTAAAAATCACTTGCTGAATTTTCCAAGGAATGAGTTTCAAGCACTAACCTCCAGATCTTCTGAACTGCACTTTGACAGAATTGCCCCATGCAAACATTGCCGAGTTTCAAGCACTAGCCTCCAGATCTTCTGAACTGCACTAACTTTGACAGAATTGCCCCATGCAAACATTGCAGCTAATCTCTTGAAATACAAAGTAACTTTTGTTTTTTTATTTAGTAGATGTTACTTCTTTTAGTCTTATAAAAATTGGGCTGCAAAAGAAAGCTAATACCTGTTGCTTATATTTCTGAACCTTTCTATGTCCCTTTTAAGGGTTCTGTTCTTAGAATTCTTGTTTGCCCAATATTTGGAGATTTATTTTTTTTAAGTAGTAACCCAAGACCCCCAGTTTTTTTCAATTAAAAACTGACAAATGTAAAATACTCTTGTGGTGTCTTTCTATATAGTTTTCCATTTCCTTTGGTAAACGCTAACCTCTGCCTTGCTCTTCTGGTTGCTATAGTATGTTCCATATATTTTCAGAGCCTTCTCTCAGCTTTTTAAAAGACACTAAAAAACCATCAAAGTGCTACAACATTGTTCTTTTCAAAACACATTACATACTTATCTAATCTGAAAACCCAGAGATAGCACTGCAGCTAGATAAACATTTGGTCTGACTCCATAGAACACTTCTTACATGGCTGAATAGCTCTGTAAATGAACCTTTTTTTTTTGAATTGCCAACTCTTTAAAGATTTCTTTCCACTAAAGGTACAAAACTCTTCAGAAATCATAAACCAGGGATTACAAGGTATAACATATTAACTTAAGACTTACAGACATTTTTCATAGACTTCTTAAAAACTATGCATGGATTACTGATATGTTAAAAGCTTTGGAAGTTTCTTTTAAAATTTTCTCCTGTAGCCTGACAAATTTGCATTATTCCCACAGAAAACAAGCCAAAGTTTTGCTTGATAGTGCCTTTTTGCAGGTGTTTGGGTGTTTCTACAAGCTTCTTATTGCAGGACATTCAATTTAATTTTTCCTATGAAGTTTTATGTACAGAAATTTTTAAACATACACACCCTATGTGAAACTTGACCTCTAGAGACATCTTTTGGGACTACTAATCAGTCAGGTATGAATGTGCCATCAAACATTAAATGCTCTGTGCAGAGTTAAGTATTTTTATTTCAACTTATATACTTGTGAAAAATTACTGAAACTTCAATTGAACATTAACCTGTTTTTCATACATCTACTATTTGGCATTTAAATGCCTTCTAAGGCACATAAACTATTTTAAGTTAAATATTTTACTCTGCAGAAAACTTGAAAGCCTCAATACATCACACACACTTGAGTGTGTAGAAGCAGAGGAAAATGTTTACGGATTCTTCAAGATAAACCTTCTGCAGTTTTCACTGGAATTGTTTCTAACCCTTCCAATTAGTACCTTACATCATAAACAGTTCTTTGTCTCCCTGTTCCTGAGACTGGACAGAATACTAGACTACAGTTTCATTTAAGAAGAAAAAAAACGACGTACCAGTAATTGTGATTGATGTAGTCCTTCCTCTTCTCCCATGCTAGTGAGCAAGAGTCCATACAGTAACAGTTAAAGCATCACCTGTCAAGTACCAGGAAGCAAGATGTCAGCCAAATGCAGGAGATGCAGAACAGAACAGCTTCCCATTTCAGAAACTTACACACCTCTGTATTTTGTCAATTGCTTCAGTATCTCTATCCTCACAATGCTCCTACAGACTTGAATAGTACTATTAAAAACAGCTTACAGAGCACAAAGGTGATTTCCCCAACAATGCACGCAGTATCTGTGGCAGAAGGAAACTGCCAGGTTAAGTCCAAGTCCTAGGCTATTACCCTGACCTTTGGACCAGCCTCTCCCATATCCATGTGCCTTTGCCATCTGAAGAGCAAACAAAATCCTTAAGTGACCATCTGAAAAATTTAGGTGCACACAGAAGCCTACTAAAAGCAAGCCCTTACTACTTTTATCACAAAGCTATAGAGTTTTCAACTTTGTTGTGCAAAACCATGTATTTCATGAATTTTCCTTTACCAGCACAGAAACTGTATTATTAAAACTTACTTTGCAAGATTAAAGCAATGACAGTAATTAAATCACTTTAACTAAAAAGGCTGAGTTTTAAAAACACATTTAAGGTAAAGTAAGATTTGATATACTGAATACAAGTACCAAACACATGCAGCGACTCCTTTAATTACTGAAACCATAAAAGAACACTCCATTTCAACAGACTACCGAAAACTTACACGATAAAATATGAAAACAATTCAGATACTTTTCTAGACATGTCTGTACAGTACTCAGTGTCTGCAACAGAAGTACATACCTAAAAAAGAAACATGTAAAGACACTGCATCTGGACATCCATTTTTATTTTCTATTGTGGCTGGTAATAAAAATTTTTGAAGAGTACTTGCTCTTAGAATTTCAGGGGAAGGAGGTGACTGGGACAGGATTCTGGGGGAGCAGGGCAGAAAACATGTTCTTCTCAGGAAGCTGCCTACTTGTTAAAATCCCACAATAAAAACATACCTTAAACACTCTCAAGCCAAAAATCTTTTCACTAGATCCCGAAATATTCAGACTAAAATGCTGTTATGTCATGGAAACTGTATTTCAATAAATTGATAGTCTTATTATCTTTTACAGACTGAGCTTACATCAACATTCAAGACAGTCATGAGACATCTGAACTACAGCTCCAGTGAGACACCATAGCATCAAGTCAATAAAAGTATTTCTTACTTCTGTCAAACACCTTATGATGCTATAAAAGTTCAAAAGCTTTTGCTCCTTGAGTAACTATTTGAATCCCCAATTCCTATTAGATAGGCTTTTAGCTCAGGGTACGTGACAAGGACATAAACTTTGTTTAAAAAAATCTGACCCAACAAAACCTCACAAAAAGCTCAACAACTACAGGTAAGATGATGCAGTCACAAGAACAATAAATGAAAATACTTCTGGTACTATTTTGGATATCTGACAATTTCAGAGGCAGAGGCTTTGGCTGTCTGCCTTCCAGAATAGCAGACTGATAAAAGAGGGGACTGCTGATGGGAACACGTGAGTTTTTGGTAAAAGAGCTGTTATCACATTCAGTCCACTCTCTTATCTATTAACATACTAAAGAAGGAAACAGTTTTCCCATGCAAAATAACAACGTGTAAGACCTGCTGCATGTGATTCTAGGTTCTTTCCTAGAGCAATAAACAATCGATTTGGACCTCTGTTAATATAAATGTAAAATATGACCATCACAACAATTATTTATTCAGATTCTACTAACTGGTTTATGAGTATCCTTCAGAACCTAAGTTCTCCATTAAAATAAAACAAAACAAAAACCTCATAGCCATTTATAAATGCAATTAAAACCTTGCAAATAAACAACCTTTCCCAGACTTCCCTGCGATATCTCCAATAAACACTCAAGAGAATACTAAATTTAAAACCTAACTAATTAAAATGTAAGTATGTCCCTCTATTGATTTACATATTAACACATTCAAAAAGACATCTGCTATTTTGTAAAACCTCTATACACAACAGCAAGATTGCTGCCGATTTAGAAGCCAGGTGTTCAAAATTCCCTGATAACTTGGAGCAGCATCTGTCTCTGTCCAAGAGGCAGTATCTGGAGTAGCTGTACCATCTCCCTTCTTCCACTACTATCCGAGTGTCAAGAGCCCAAACTCGGTGTGTTAAACCTAACTGCTGTTTGAAACAGCTGTCCTGAAAAAGCTGTCAAGGAGACAACAGCTATCTGGAGCATAATGCCATATGAAAAAAGGAGGTTTTGTGAATTTGGTTGTTTTGGGTTTTTTTCTACTAATAGTAGAGGGAACACAGTATTATGCAATTCATTAAAGGTTTTGCTTCTGGGAGTGACAAATTCCCAGTCTGCTTTACAAATATGATGCCTGAAATTTGACCCAATTCTTACTAGAGCATCAACTTACACATTCCAGACTCGCTGAATTCAGATTCATGTAGCAACACACTGCCAAAAATATACTTAAGGGAGAAAGACACTTCCTAAGAGTAGCAGTAATAGAGAAGATAGGAGATTTTAGCCTTGTTCATCTTTAGGAGAAAGCAGACAAGAACTACTTAGGAGGTTCACATAAGCTAGGTAGCTTTTCTTTTTTGTACAAGCTGTAAATGCAGTGATGATGGTTAGCATGGTAAAGTATTGAATCTCTCCTCTAACACGCTAATCCTGCCCCCCCTCCACAATTATCCTTTATAACTTTTGTGGGAAGAAATCAAAGCTATATGGAATAGTTAGAAGAGGACGGAAAGCCGGGTACTCCTTTTTAGGCACACGTGTGTGCGTGTGGCGGTGCTGAGCTACAAGGGTTGGCTGCAGACACAGCCGAGGAAGGGCCAGAAACACCCCTACTGGGACTGGGACAAAGGCACCTAAAAATCACAGGGTTTTGGTTACACCCCCCGGGCGCAAGGGCCTGTCAGGCGCCTCTCCAGGACGCGAGGGCTTCGGGAAGGGGCACTAACTCCGGAGGAAAGGCAGGCTGAGCGGCACGGCAGCAGGACCGCAGCGACGGCAGCGCTGGGAGGAGCCGAAGGCTCGTGGAAACGCTGACGCCGGGAGGCCGAGAGGCGGG